TAGACCCTACACTGCTGTAGGGCACTTTAAACCTCTAGTGATTATTTTATAGATGCTTCAAGTTCCTCCACTCTCACCCCAAGTTGAAAGTAGTTCCTGTAGGATGAGAATTGAACAAAGATGGCAACAAGGAGCTTTGTGATTTGTCGGGAGATGAATACTCGGTGTTTGTGTTGAAATATTATGATTGTACATGTATAGTCAGCTTTCCCGGCCAGCATGGTCCGACTATGTTGGCCCATGTTCACTGGCTCTCTGATGTGCACACCCCTGCCCCTATCATGTTAGGCTGTCAAGTGTTCACTGCCGCACTAACCCTTGCCATTTATTTTTTTCTTCGTTAAGTACAGTGTACTTGAAAGCACTCTACCCCAAAGGTCGGGGCCTACATGTAGTTTCATAGACCTCTCTCATGGGGCAGTCATTTCCCTTTTCTGCATTCAAGGCAATGTAACCAAAATGGGGCTGGAAAGAAAAGTAGTCTAGTCACTTTTATCAGTATGTGAATTTGTATTAATATTTCCAGTCGGGCAAAAGGGAACAAGACAAACATGGCAGCATGATTCAAAGGTCTGTGGTCCTCCTTTAAAAGTGTGCTTATTCTAGCTGAAAATTTTGCTAACCTTTTTGATGGGCACGCGTTGAGTTTCCCATTGTTACATGTATGTCAATAAGTTGAGCAAATTTTCCATCTGAGGAACAGGAAGTGTGGCCCCTACCAGCCTTCATTTGGGCAACATTTGTCAAACTGCTTCATCGGTCATCCCAAAAACTTGTCCTAGGTGCACCCACCTTAACTTCGGCAAAGTTTGCACTTTTTGAATGCATGATTCAAAAACAAAAGAGACTGACATTTTAAACTAATAGCCAAAGTACAAGATTGGCTGTTGTCAATCTTTTACTGGTTAGCCTCTTGATTTCCATTTTCTTCCCTAAAAAAACCTGCTAGGGACAGGTTTTCCTTGCAATTTCATGAGGTATTAATAAGTCAACTGCGGGAATGAAAAAGAAATTCCTACATGTAAGTGAGTCTACACGTCGTCCACTGAACAAGTAAGGAAAATTGTACGCGTTTGCATGTTATCCAGCGACTAATGGGGTTAAGTTGAGATTAATTGTTTTAATGGCGTATTTTACCCAATTATTTTACAGTTAAAATTCTGCATCACAGATTTACCCATTTTGATTTCTTCTTTTCCATCTCCAGAGCTCCATCCATAATGCTGTTATTACAGTATTGGTGAATGTCTTGCTCATGAACACAAGCTCAAACCGGCGGGTGGACCTGAAACCACCCAGGGTTGAGTGACTAATCCTAGCTCTAGTCTCAACAACATGCACAAGCAGGGGGACCTGAGCATCTAACCATCCAGGGTTGAGTGGCCAATCCTAGTCTCAGCAACATGAACCAGCAGGTAAACTTGAGTCTCTAACCATCCGGGCTTTGATGACCAAACCTACCTCTAGTCTTTGCAACCTGCACCGGCAGGTGGACCTGAGCCTCTAACCATCCAGGCTTGAGTGACCAATCATAGCTCTATGCACTTTCATGGAGAGATTTTATACCCACTAGGGTGTTGGTCTTTTAGAGTTTGACTTAATAAACACCTCCCGTAAATTTTGCATATGAGCTAAAATGTCTTGTGTTATCATTTGCAAGCACTGTGAACACGATGGCTTGAAATTAACAAAGATTTTGCAAATTTTAGTCTTCTTGTATTCCAGCACTTTGTTTGCTGTGACCTGCTTTCATGGAGATGCCATTGACTGGCTGAAGGAGCATATATGTAGGTGAGCCCGGATGATTTCTACTAAAAACATCAGAAATTTTATGCAAATTCTACATGTACATAATATTGTGAATAGTAATAATAACTTCTCTATACCAGGCAAGATATGGGACGGAGGGGCACCCCCCTTACCTGTCCAATCCCTGTACACACTCTAGACTACTGTTACCTAACACATGTCATCCCCTCTAGAAGTCTGTTAAGAATTCCTGAGATTCCGATCAAACAATGACCAACACAAAGGCGGGGGAGTTCTCTCCGTCCCATATTTTGCTTCATATGTACTTCTAGTGTGTTGAAGGCACAGTCCATCATTGTGGATTATTATGTCCTTGTGGATTATGTTCTTTTGGGCAACAAGAGTACTCAAAATCCAAAGACAGGTTTCAGAGAACAAAACTGATGAATTTTCAGCTCATTGAATACTCTATGTTCTGAGGAAAAAAATGTTAGGATTTGAATTTGAAATCAAAAGTTGCTGAGTCGTGTTTGAATTGTGCTGGAATTTGAGCCTAAGGGACCCATTTTCACATTCACTCAAATGCAGCTATGCAGTATCACACATCGAGCCAATGATTTACATGTATAGTTGATGCACTCATGTCGTCAAAGCTTGCACATTTCCAGTGGTAATTTTCCAAAATGTGTCCTGAGATGCATTTTCCAAAACTGCCTTTGTTTTCTTCAAAATGACAGCTCGCTGGAAAGAATAATTTCACGGGGGGTTTTGTTCTATAGTCAACTTTCAACAAGTAGGTTTTTCAAAAATTAGTTCATCGGTTACTTTTTTGATAACTGCAAATGATGGACTGCACCTTTAACAGAAATGTGTAACACTGCACTTGAAGCCAGGCAGAGGTTTGACAAGAAAATTCCTGAAAAATTAGCCAATTTCAAAAATATAGTTTCATTTCATTCGCACGGTTGTTTTATTTAAATCACTCGAAAAGATATAACTCCTTCAAGAAAATCATACATGTGCTCCGTAAATTCTTAGAAATCTTTTGTTGGATATTTGAAAGAAAGAATTAGTTGAAGTTAATATACTGATTCTTCTGTAAACAACTTAACCAGAATGTGGGTCATTTATTCAGTGGCCTTTATTCACAAGATGGCCATTTTGGATTTTGTTCCCCAGGTTCACTTCATTTATCATCCACTCTAAAATCAAAGGGAGCCTGACTATTTCACTTCAGTTGCAGGTAAAGCCCGAGTTCCTTTTTTTTTTTTTTTAAATCAAAGTGACATGTCTTTGAAGTTTTAAGGCCAATTTATTTGAAGTCTTCCTTGTACATATTATGTGCGTGCATGATATTTTGTATTATATGATATGCATAAGAATGAACATTGTTTGATTCTATAGTGCATTTGAATGTAAAAAAGAAGAAACTTTGCATGAAATGTGTAGAAGATGTGCGGCCAAAAACAAGATTCACCATGGCTTCATTTCCAGAGAAAATTCTGGGGAAAAATGGATTGTAGAAAATACGCAAGACTTGTACAGAAAAGGTTGAGAGACTAGTCAGTAGACCGAAAAAAAGCTTACTTGTACTTTCCATAATAGGTCCTTTATTTATGTACAGTGGTCCATGATGAGGCATGTTTTAACACATTAACTCAAGGATAAAATGCTTTGAACACTTCCACCAAAGTAACATAGAAGAAAGTAGAAAAAAATTTTTAAAAATTCAAACCAAAATGATTTAAATAATATTGTGATTTCTAACAATCTTGCACATTTTTGGGTATTCTCGTTGAAGTGAATCTTTTTTTTAAATGATTGATAAAAACATCATAGACTAAAGAAACCATTGCCAACAATATTTTCTCATCCATGCAGGCAAGAGAACATTAGCGTTTCAAACAAGGTGAAGTGGTTCCTGTCTACCATGGTACAATGTACTTGGAGGGGCTTCACCTCACAAAACTTTGCCAGTGCAAACGGGATGCTCTGAAGCTGAATATTGTACAGCATTTGTCTTGACATAGTAAACAGGGTTCAGGCTTGAAACAGGGAGTGTAGATGTTTTTAGTAAAAAAACAACAAATTTTGCCGGACAGCTTTTACTTCGAACATCTAACCAAAGAAACACAGTTCACTAACATTGTTCTTGCACCTGCTTCTTTTGTTACATGTAGATGATCACAGTGTTTGGTATCAAGGGTGTAGTTTTGTCTCTAGAGAAAGAAATAATCATATTTTAAAGCATAGCTGCAATGCAATTTTCTTCAAAGCAATTTTTTTAACTTTCTACGCTTATTAGATGTGTTTTTATGTTCCTATTTGGTTACATACATTGAAAAGTGCACATTTTTAACACAATTATTCAAGCTTTCCTGGACAACTGAGGGCGCTATTGCTATGAAGTCCAGGGGAGACATGTTTCAGCACAGAAGTTTTTAGCATTTCTGATAAAGAGATTAATGCTTGCTAATTGCTGTGATCAAAAACGATAATGGATCAGTAAAGACGTGAAAATTTTGTCCAGTAAATTCTCCAAACATGAGGGACTTCTGAGTACAAACCAATATAACATTGAGACTTTCTTCCTGTGATGACATCACACTTGCTCTGAATAAGGAAATTACTTATTGGCATAAAAACCTAAAAGGCAGTAAATTAATTAACCTTTGAAAAAGTGAAAGAAAGCCCAACATATGGTTAACTAGGGAATAGGGGGATGCATATTGAAGGTTTGTATTCAAACAAATTGATTGCAGCTACCCTTCAAGTTGGTTTCCAAAAGTTATCATTAAGTTTGAACAATCAGTATTTTGCATTCTGTGCATTCGATAGACTAAGTTGTGTACTCAAAGTTGTATGTTCAAAATCTGTCAAATTGTTTGTGACTGCACAAAATTATAATTATGCCTTTTGCTGCTGTGAATAAATGTAGATAGAATAGAACTCTTTTGAAATTTTGGGGAAGCTTGAAAAAAGCTGAGTATTACTCAAAACCTTCTTTTTTTCTCCCGATTTGGATTGTGCAGTGTAAATTTCTCTCATATTCTACATGTAAGTCACAGGTAGCTTGAACATGAGACTTGTTACTACCAAATTTTCTCAGAGATGCTTCTGATTGAAAGAAATTTCCATGCCTGCAAAATCTTTTCGCCAGTTTTTTTGCGACAGATGCATACAAAGAATATCAAAATATTTTAGTAGTTACATGTAGTATAGAAGTGCTTGTACCTACTTGTTTGACATGAATTCATATTAAACTGGAATACATCAAAGTCTGTATCTACCTGCATTGGTATGCTGTTGCTTCCCTATGTATTTGCATATTCAACATTTATTTAAATATATGCAGATGAGCTGTGTCTCTGCCGTTTTTCGATGTTGCGCAATCCTAACCTTTAAATATAAGTTCCGAATTATTTTATATCAAGAGGCCTGTGGCCTGGTGGTTAGCTAGCTGGCTGCCAGGCCAAGGGATCCCGGTTCAAAACCTGGGGTCCCCGGAAAAGGAAGTTTTTTTTTTTTTTTTTTTTTTTTATACTAAGTTTTTTAACAAAATTGTGCATGCCCACCCGGGATTGAACCCAGGTCCTTGTGCATACCAGTTAGTGTCCTTAACCGCTATGCCACGGCACTTTCTTGATAAAATGTGCTCGTTTCTAAATATTAAACCTTCCATTGTTTGGACTTAGAATATTTTTCACCCAAAATCTGTACTGGAGATGGGAAAGGGGAGTAGGCCTACGGGCCAGAAATCTGAGAGCTGATAGGAAGGGTAGAGTGGATGGCTGAGGGCTTGGAGCTATCAGTATTGGAGCTCTAAGGACTCCATGGGGTCTGAAAGACATAGCTTCTTAATGTTCCATATTGCCAGTGGGTTTATTGTAACCCTTATAGGATTAAGACTGGAAAGGCTGTACTGAGGGAGCTTTATAGCTTGGAAGATGTTTAAGACTGGCAGGGCTTAAAATGAGGCTTTAATGTAAAATCTGAATATGGGACACATGTAACTCTGGCAGTGTGAAATGGTTGAGATTAGGAGAAGGGTTAAGTGGCAAAATACTACATACAAATAGAATTATACAGAATAGTTCTGTTAGTTTAAACATTTATTTCATAAAAGGAACATGTACAATAGAAGTGGTTCTGATGCACAGTAATTTTGATGAATATACCCAGAAAAAGGCCTACATGTATTTTCACAGCAAGCTAAAATTTGGAAATTCTGATGTAAAATTTTTGTGATAATTAAAATTGGAAAGTCTAATAATTAAAAGACATCAGGAAAATACAAAGGCACATAGAACCATTTCCAGGGGGTGATAAACTTGTTACAGTGAGGTTTTGAACAGTCACTGTTTTGGCTAAGCAGGGTTGATGGGTACGGTACAGGTACATGCTTATTGCCTAAATGGGAAAGGGGGAGATATGAAATGTGCAATACACTGTTCACTTCTTGAAAGCATGCAATATAGTTATCCACTCTCCTCCTGCCCTGGAGTGTAGTCTTTCCAAACGGTGACTATTTTATGGTACAAATATGTCTGGTCAGGGCTAAAAGGCCATTACAACAAAAATAATTTTTTTGAAAATACTTTTACTCTGAGCATGAAGGAAATGCATTGAAACAGACATTTCTTTAACTTTTTTTAAACTAGTTTGTTTTTTTTTTGACCAAAGTATTTAAATTTCAAGAAATTTTCTTGCCCAAGTTTATGTTTAGAAATACAATTTTTCAGTAAGGACCATTTAGCACCGACAGGACAAATTACAGTTTTTGAAGTACCATACATGTACATGTGTAGCATCGTGATAATGTTTTGACTTTATTTTGGGGAGACAGGTTGGCACAATGATACTTTCCTTGCCCTCCACCTCAGTGTTCCACCTCAGCGATCCACAATCAAATCTTGCCCAAACCGACGTGTGGATTGAGTTTCGGCCCCTACTTGATTCCTTGGGTTTCTCTATGATTATTTACCTGGAGTTTTCTTCCCACCTCTAAAAACTTTACATTAATCCCCCATGCAAAAATGGGTGAAAAATGTACATGTAATTCATGCACACATCATTACACTAGTCTAGTCATCCAATGAACATTCAGCACTTATTGCAGGATGACTATGAGTGGTAATGAAAAGGAAAATAAATCTTCAGATTTTAGAGATTGTGGGCCTTGGTGGGATTCAAACCTGGGCCGTTGAGGTGGAAGACAAGGAAAGAGCTGCTATGCAAACCTGATTCCCAGTAAAAGAACTTAAAGCAAGAAATTTGCATAAATATGATGTCTGTGTATAAAGCTCTTTCCCACTAATATACATGTACAAACACATAGTAGACTTGCTTCAGCGTGGAGGGAGTGCAGTTAATCCTCGTTAATAAGAGCCGGGTGCTTTGAAAAATGTACTGCACGGATATATGTAGGCGTCATTTTCAAGATTTTCAGTTTTCCAACTTCTTCAAATATTTACTATTTCATTTAACGGACGTTTATACCCACACAAAGGACTCTTCGGGCGCTACTCTAAGCTAACAGGTAGTTTTCATTGGCACCCGAATATTTCAGCCAGCCCTGCAGCCTTGTAAATGCCCCAAACCTTGGTATACTGTTCCCTAACAAATCTGGATTATCTCCACTATTGAGAGTGAAAAAATGTCGGTATTAAAGGCCCAGCAGCTCAATCTTTTGTGCTGAGCACAGTCTTTTGTCCCGGTTTTTAGCACTCCCGGCTCTGGGTGTAAAGCCTATGTACTCGAAAATGGGCCCCTTGACAGCAAATGGTTAAGAGTTAGCAGATTAACTAGTTATAACAGCAATGAACCTTGCATTATCAGGAATGAAAACAACGAAGGATTGGGACCTAAAATTTTCCTCGTTACAAGCAAAATGTGGTATTCACAATGCTCTTATTAACAGGGTTCAAATGTATATGCCTCCCCTGCACTTTTTGATTGGGGGAGGGGCTGTTATTGGGTCACTCCTGCCCAATTTTTTTGGTGGTGACAAAAAAAACCTGATTTTAAAGTACTTGTCAAACTCCCCACTAGCCAAAATGTGTTCAGTAATACTTAAAAGGCAGATAACACACAGTTGACACAATTGATCGTATCATAAACAGCGCCTCCTAGTGTTCTGCAGCATCCACTAATAATCCCCACATAAATGTGAACATGCCACAGACGTACAAATGCATAGACCACCAGATCACAGTGCAGCAAATTCACCCCTAGACTCAAAGTTGAAGAATTCCACTCAGAAAATTCCATGAAGCCGTTTTCCGATTGCCAAAAAAATCCTCTATTTACTTAATCTGGCCTATGTAGATTCAAAACAATGAGATAACAGCGTTTATTGGGAGCACATGTAAAGAAATGCAGGCAATGAATGTGTGCATTTACCACGCCATCATCCATTGTCTCACCCATACTTTAAAAATCACGGTTATAACAGTGAGACTGGCGGTCTATGCGTTTATGTCTGTGGTACAGCGCCCCCTAGTGTCCATTGGTATCCAGCCCCCTAGTCCCAGTCATAGATTTACATCACTGTGGAAGCAAGGAACTGCAGTCTTCCTTGCCTGTGTGAACCACTGCTTGAGATCCTGATGTGGAAACTGTTCTAACGGAAGGCGAGGACTGGCATCTATCTGAGTTACTACCTCTCATTGAAGTGAATCGTCCCTGGGAAGTCCTGTAGGATCTTGCCCTCAAGTTTGCTTCTGTCCTTGTTGAAGGAGGCAAGGGCTTTCTTCTCATCAGCACCATGGTCTGGTCCTCATAGGCCATAATGTACAGCTTTCCTACAAGGTCTGGGGGAGGAACCAATCACAAAAGAATGAGCTCAGCTACAGCGAGAACAGATGTTTCTGAAAAAAAAATTATCCTCTTTTATGGGTATCATGCAGGTCCAAGAGAGGGCGCAGTTTTCCTTGCAAAGCAGGTTTCTTTGGTGGGAACTGCACTTTGCTGGTTTACAAACAAATATGAAATGCATGTTACAATTGCATTGCTACCAGCAAAATGAGCACTTCCCACCTGCATGGCTCTTTTCAGCCGATGAGGGGGTATTTCTGTTCTAGGTGAATAGGTCTAAGTTCACCAACAGAATCTCAGTCTTTTTGTACTCAAATGACCACATCTTTATCAATATTGGAGCCACTGTTAAAAGTGAGATGTCAATGTATCAAGGAGGAAACATTTGTTCAATCTGACTTGAATAATTTCTGAAATCTATCGTTCTGGCAAGCTGTCATGAAGAAACAATGAAACGTCAGTTCCAAGCAAGCGTCTAAATATTCATTTTTGAAAATTTCCAGTAGAAACATGTGCAAGCATTGTGACATGACTCGTGTTACTTAATGTATAAAACTATAATTCATCGGTTTAGTACATGACATCACACAGCTGCACTTAATTGAATGTGAGAATGTGTACTGGCCATTGAATGTAGGTGCAATTTAACACATTACTCAGCAAATCATGATCTTAGAATGCTGTTCTTCCTGGAATATATATTATTCACTGAGCTGAAACTCAAAGTTTAAAGACTTAAAGGCGCCCTTTAAATTTTTGAGTAATTTTCTTGCTTCAAAGGAACATAATCCACAAAGGATCAGACAAATGATAGGCTGTATCTTTAAATGTAGCCCCCCCCCAAAAAAAGGTGATACTTTTCTATGCTGTGCCTATTAATTATTTACTGGCCAAAAGTCGACATAAATTACATGACACTCTTACCGTCTACCGTTCATGATGTAAGGCCTGCGTTTTCAACATCAGAGATTCCATCTCCTGGTCAGTCCAGTCACACCAGAATGCGGGATATGTTAGCGAGCCTCAGCAGTACTGGTGCATTCACCTGACAACAGGAAAAAGCAGTCAACATCATGACAAGTGAATATAACATTTTTTAAATGAAACGCTTTTGAGTGACGGTCTCCAAAAAAGAGCAGATCCATAACCAAACTTTTTTTTTGGGGGGGGGAAGTACTGTTTGAAACTTTTAAGTTCCTGTACATATTTTGCTACCAAGTGACTGCTTATTTGTTCTTGCATTGCAAAAATGGCAGCTGTGTGACTTGGGAGTTCTTCAAGTGTATGGGCTCTTTTATAGAAGGCAGTGAATGTTCAGCCATCACTGGCAAACAAACGGCATTTTACCAGGAAAATGTGCAATAAACTGTTTTGGAGACCTTAATAATAATACCATGCCAAATCATAGTCTGGGTCTGTGCCAACATAGTCATTGTCACTTTGTATTCACTAAGTGGGGATCAGACCATTTTACAATTTCTTACTTTTTCGTAAAGAAAACAAATCTCCCAAGCTCCGGAGCAATGAATCAGAAAGAAGATGTACATGTACAGTAATACTCTGGTATTACTGTACATGTACATCTTCTTTCTGATTCATTGCTCCGGAGCTTGGGAGATTTGTTTTCTTTTTTTAATACTCTGGTATTACTGTACATGTACATCTTCTTTCTGATTCATTGCTCCGGAGCTTGGGAGATTTGTTTTCTTTACGAAAAAGTAAGAAATGTTGAATGTTAAATGTTGAAGTCAAGTCTCAACAACAAAAGAAGAAAATTCTTTTTTTTTGGAAAAAAAAAGATAGCTGAACAAGAGCGTATCAAGCCATATCAAGATGTGCACTCTATCAACTAGACAACAGCATGAATGAACGGAGAACATGATGTGATTTTAATATTCTTTATCTGCTTACTCATTCAAAGAGGGCACTCATGTCTACTTGTACCTGGCAAGATTACTTAAATTTACCGGTAATAATGATTCCACATATTCACTACCTTTATAATAGGCAAGTCAGAACTTTTAGACATTGGCAAATGCCATGGCCAAATGTACATGTCCCAGCAAAATTCATTTCTAAACGGATAGCAAACATCATGACTGAGAAGTGAGAACTTTTCTACCTACTGTTTTCTTCATCGGTCATTCTTGTTCCTCGTCACGTCTGAGTCTAGGTCATCATTGGGACTAGTTTCTGTCTTCAGCCTGCTTCTAACACTGTTGGAATACAATAGAGATACAAAAAACAAATGTTTTCATTGAGTGTGCGAGTTCCATGTACATGTAACTTCAGCCAGAGTTGCAATGAGTCACTAAACTTTGTAACTCAAGGTCAGTAATGACAACACTGTGACTCAAGTAAATGTAGCTCCAGTCAATTGAACATAGTACAGTATGCTCATTACATTGGGTCAAGTCCAGTCATTATGGTACAAAAGTCGAGTCTAGTCAGGTATGTACATGTATCTAGAGTCAATTTGAGTCACAACTATTTGAGCACATCAGTGCAATAAACAAATATAAGACTGGTTCCCATTTCCATACATAGTCCACGTGGAGGTGTACTTCAGACTGATTTGCATGGCCTATACATGTACATGTATAGTCAGTGGCGTAGCCACAGGGGGACCTGGAAGCGCACATTTCCCCCCCCCCCACAAACTCCTGGTGACCCCCCCCACAAAAAAACTGATGAATGGATATCGAACAAGGCTAACATAAACTTGCCCCAAAAAACCACACCCCTGAAAGCTGGTGCCCATCCATAAGATGCTGATGCCCGTGCCCCCCAGTCATGCCAGTAAAATCCTAGCTATGCCACTGTGGGTATCAAACATCAATAAACATATGGTATCTTTAATAGCAAACCCTACTGAAAATGTCCAATTCATTTACCTATTGAGACCAATTCACTTGGATCCAATTCACATACATGTACCAGTTGGATCCAAAATTCCAAAACCAATCGCTTTTGCCTGGAATCAATTGGGTTCAATTGGTTAGAATAGGAAATTTGGACCTTTTCTCAGTTGGATCATTTCAAACCAATTGACACCATTTGAATGCAAATTCATAATCCAATTGTAACCGACCGAAGAACCAGTTGAAACCATCTCAATACCAATTCAAACCAATTGAGTCCCATTTGAAAAAATCTATTTGATGGGGGAGCAAGCTGAAAGCAAACCAACTGGAACCAGTTGCGTCCCATTTGAAATTTCTAATTGATCAAGGAAAACAAATAGAGAGAAAGCATACCAATTGGAACCATTTGATTCCAATTTGGAATTCAAATTGGTTGGGGAAAATAAACAGCAAAGAAATAAATGCCAATTGCAATCAATTACGTCCCATTTGAAATCTCCAAATGATGGGGGCAAACAAATGGGAGGGAAGACATACCGGCACTAACGAACTTAGCAATTGATTGCAAATTGGACCCAATTCATTCCGATTAAATCTGATTCAAAATCAATTAGTTCTAATAGGCAATTATTAGTAGGGAAGTGTGTTGCAACGTCGATTTACTGAAAATAAAACTGACGTGCCGCGAAGTACTTAGACTGTTGATGATGCGCTAGGAATTGTACAGAAAATTGCCATTAGTTTTAGTAAACACTTTGCTATGGCGACAGGTACATGTACGCCATGTCTGTATCAATGTTTGATACCCCGACTACGGGCTACATGATTTGGTAGGTGCAACGTTCTGGTCAATTTTATTCATAACTAAAGACAGGAAATGACTCGCAGATATCAAGAAGTGAAACCTTGGTCTTATATCTGATTTGGCTTTGTGTCTAGATTTTGTACTCAAATTACCACTTTTTTTCAATATTGCTGCTACAGGTGAAGTGTCAAAACATGCACAAGAACACATCAGTTCAATATAACTTGACTGGTTTCTCTTAAAATGCTATAAACGGTCCAAATGAAAAAGTTATCGTTGAAAAAAAAACTTGTTTTAACACCTTCACGGCGGGACACGTCAAGACATGCCGTAAAAATTGAGATCCTCAGCCCGCTTTTCAGCTATTATTCTCGAACCATGAACACGGTGAAAGAAGGCAGACCCCGCCTCTTGTGTATATGGTAATTGGTCTTTGTGTGTAGCCCAGAAATGAAAAGACCGAATTTGCATCATAATCACTAGCTTCACAATAGTCCCCACTTTGAAAAGAGTCAATGGGAATGTGGAAGCTTGAGTAGAGCCGCATGCCACCGAACAATCAGCCTTTTCACGGTGTAATTTAAAGCGCTGGGTCACACGCTGGGCCACAAACCGAGAATTTGCAGTTTGCCAGGTGGCCTTCGTGGCCAAGCAAGGCTGGAATTCTTGGAGTCGGCTTTCAGAGAGAAATTCCCGCCGAGAAGGGGTTAAGATGGTAATGGGACTATAGAGTACCTGTGAAATTACATGTACTCTTTCCATCAAGCTGTCATTTTGAAGAAAACGTTGAAAGAAGGCCATTTCCAACAATGCGTCTCAAGATTGGATAGTTGTCATTAGAAGCATGCCCAAGTCTTGTGACACAACACATGCATTACTAAATGTATAAGTTGTTGGTTGTGAGCATGACATCGTGTGGTTGTCCTGGACTGTGCATGAGAATTGCCCCAGATGCTGGATTCAGGTGCAATTCAAAACATGACTCATGAGCAACCTTGGATCTGAAACTTAAACTCTACAATAATGTTTATTCACTGAGATGAGACTTCATCAGGTTTGGTCTTTAGTCAACCTTCTTTAGATTTTTGAGTCATTTTGATGCCTTAAAGGAACATATTGTACAAATGAAAAATGATGGACTGCACCTTTAAATGTAGGGCTCCCTGCAAAAAACATTGATACATTTTGGTGATGTGTATTGTTTACTGGCCAAAAGCAAGCATGAATCTAATGACATTCTTACCTGCTTCCATTCATGACATAGCTAGCCTGCATCTGCAGATTTGAAGATTTTATGCCTGGTCAGTCTACTCACTCCATGACGTGGGATAAGTTAGCCAGCCTCAGCGTAGGCATCCTTTGCAGTACATTACGCCTGTCAACAAGGCACTTCCATATCTTACAGAGAAAAAATAACCAAAATAACAAGATATATAACCTAAATTTTTTTTATATGAAAGAATAATAAGTATGTGTTGTCAAACTGAGTTTGAAGCTTTCAAGTATAATAGGACAAATCAAGCCCTTTAGTGGGGGGGGGTTGTCTTTGCTGGTTTGGGAAAGGGACACAACTTTTCTGAATGTTTGAGGTCATGTGGCCATTTATGGCCTTTCTGTGGGCCAAGACTACATTCTGGAACTTTTTACGCACAGGGAAAGAGAACTAAAGACAGAACCAAGAAAATAACCTTCAATTGCTTAACATAATTTGGCTCTTTTTTGGGGGGGGAGCTGTTGCACTTCAACCCGCGATATGCAACTGCAAATGTAATGTAAATGTCTAAGACCATAGAAAAAGTACATTACTGCCTGGTAAGCAGAGAGTAACAGCGTGGGTCTATCTACAGGCTCTGGTAACGTGCACAGCCAGTATGTGCAAATGTTGTATGCATGATGGCAGCCATGTTGAAGGTCACAATTCAATGACCCCACTCATGGCTGTGAAATGCAAACTGCTGAATCACTTTAGCATGGCACAAGTTGCAGCATGACTTTCCTGCACGTAACCCATCGCATGACCGACACTGAGCATGGCCAGGCCTGGCCTGCATGTACATGTACCTCCAATGCTGCCAAACATAGTGCAGTGCGTTGGGGTAATAAGTCTGATATGCACTCTGTTGCACTGGGCAATCAACAG